TACACCGCACAATTACTAAAACTTAAACTAATATTTTATAATATTGTAATAGTATATAAATAATACGAAATAACACTTATTTGAATTGAACAGATACATTTACATTAATACAAATTAATGACAAGTTAAAACTAGAACTAATTTACATAACAGCCAAACAATAATTTACTAAATATTTATTTATTTATGAACCATTTTAATTTAATTGATATACTAATATAGTTTATTAATATTTGGAATCAGATTTTATTTTTATATTTTCTGTTTTCTTATTTTTAATATACTGTATTTCATTTTTATTTCAGTTTTAGTTATTTTAGTACAAGTTAAACTAAATTCAAATAAATGTTACCTTTGCAACTAGCTCAAATTAAATGTTGTCTATATTTTGTTTTATTTAAATGAATGTTATTTCAAGTAATGACAATGTTTTGAATGGTTTTACGTTTAGTTTTAGTTAACTATAATAACCCTGGATCGAAAAAACAATGAATTACTGAATCAGTTATCCGAACTGTCCCTGAAAACATCGCTCCCACTAATATCACCTGCCTCTGACTAGTTAGTATAGATAACTATGTGAGTGCAACTTAAAAGGGATAGTTCACCCAAAAATGAAAATTTGATGTATATCTGCTTACCCCCAGGGCATCCAAGATGTAGGTGACTTTGTTTCTTCAGTAGAACACAAACGAAGATTTTTAACTCAAACCGTTGCAGTCTGTCAGTCATATAATGGAAGTGAATGGGAATCACGGCTTTGAGAGTCAAAAAAACATACACAAACAAAACCAAATTAAACCCTGCGGCTTGTGACCATACATTGATGTGTAAAGACACGAAATTGAACAGTATTTATATCGTTTTTTTACCTCTGATTCACCGCAATGTCCGAATGTCCAATCTCTCAAATGGACCATTGACACTCCTAATTGAGATTGTAGATAGAGTGTCAATGGTCTATTTGAGAGATAGGTGGCGGTAATGCACTTATAAGTCCGCGATCCGCCGTAAAGCAAGAAGAAGAAGAAGACGCGTCATGCGCTGGCTGTTGAGAACGCGCTCAGGACAGTTCAGACATTGCAGTGCATCAGAGGTTATAAACGATATAAATACTGTTCAGTTTCTTGCACAGACCGATCGTTTCGTGTCTTTACACATCAATGTATCGTCACGAGCCGCAGGGCTTAATTTGGTTTTGTTTGAGTATGTTTTTTGACTCAAAGCCGTGATTCCCATTCACTTCCATTATATGATTGACAGACTGCAACGGTTTGAGTTAAAAATCTTCGTTTGTGTTCTACTGAAGAAACAAAGTCACCTACATCTTGGATGCCCTGGGGGTAAGCAGTAAACAACAAATTTTCATTTTTGGGTGAACTATCCCTTTAACTACTTCAAACTAGCTTTCCCAACACTATTTCTAAGCATGTTACCATTTTGCATCTGATCCATGCGACACGAACGGCCTCTTTTTCTCACTGTCTCTCGTTTTTCCTCCAACTATTGCTCTGAGATGCGTGCGTTTTTGCGCTCCTAATGTGCTAAAGAGCATGTGAGACTAATCTAATTACAGCGTCGCTCCAAAAGAGAGGTTGAAACTGTTACCAATCTAAAACCCACAAATGGAGAGACCCCGTGCCGTATCCCAGCATCCTCGACACCCCTCCTCTCGCTCTTGTCTCGACAGTGAATTGGTTTGGCCCCTACAGTGCTTCATTACCTGGCCTAATTATAAAGGCAAATGAAATCAGCCCCGCAATACATTATTAATGTCCCTACACCATTAGGATTCAATTGCAGTATTTGCAACAATATGATATTTTCAAACTGTTTTCACGCCTGATTAGAAACGAGGACAGATAAAAGGGAGGTGCAAGAGGAAAGAGAGAGATAGTGAAAGAGGAAGGTGAGCACAGAGGAGAGAGTGATGAAAACTGAGAGAGAGAAGCCGTATATGAAAGACGGCTAAATGAATACTGCAAAAACAGACATCACGAAAGACGTGATGAAACAAAGAATCACAGACTGAAAAAGAAATATGTGAAATGTGCCATAGTTCTGACCTTTAACATTAGAAAACAAGCACAAGTCAACATGTGTTTGTTCTGTGACCGATCTCAATAGTCTAGCAATACTTTCCAATGCATAAATGAGATCTCATTAACGTCTCAAGTGTTTCTCCAAGCAACGAGCAATCAGTCTAAATGGAAATGTTCACTTAAAGGGGTCATATGCACTGGATAGCTGGCCAATCACAGCACACCTCGCTTTTTTAGAACGATGAGCTTTGTGAAAATCATCGCGTTTCAGAAAGGCGGGGCATAGAGGAGAAACAATAATGTACAGTATGTGGAAAATAATGTGTTTTTTGAACCTTAAACCGCATAAACAGATTTCATTACACCAAATACACAAAATAATGTTCTTTTTAGCAGCATCATATGACCCCTTTATAGGAATAGTTCATCCAAAAATGGAAATTCAATTAGAATTTGCTCACCGTCAGGCCATCCAAGATGTAGATGAGTTTGTTTCTTCATGGGAACAGATTTGGAGAAATGTAACATTACATCACTTGCTCACCAGTGGATCCTCTGCAGTGAATGGGTGCCGTCAGAATGAGAGTCCAAACAGCTGATAAAAACATGACAATAATCCACAAGTAATCCACACCACTCCAGTCCATCAATTAACGTCTCATGAAATGAAAAGCTGTATGTTTGTAAGAAACAAATCCATCATTAACACATTTTTAATCATTCAAATGAGTCCTCTATTCATAATATTGCTTTCTCCATTGAAAAAGTCTTTCGCCTGAATCAGGGGAGAAATATGCACAGATCAAGCATGATTTACAACCATAAACGGTCCAAAACATTACTAAACAAATATGTCAGTGGATTTTGGCGAGAGAGGACCACAGGAGATGGACTTTTTCACTGGAGGAAGAACTATTATAGATTATGGACTATGCTATTTTAACCAGAAGTGATGGTTTAAAGTTAAAATACCTTGGTGATAGATTTGTTTCTTACAAATATGCAGCTTTTCACATCATAAAATGTTAACTGATGGACTGGAGTGGTGTGGATTACTTGTGGATTATTGTGTTTTTGTTGATTGCAGACCTCAGTATTTATCATACTAAAGTCTAAGATCTCAATATGAGCTTGAAATATTTCTCATTAAACTCTCAAATGATCTCAGCTGTGATCCACATTCATGGTGGTCGACCATAGGGTCAATTTCCATTTCATGCCGACTTTATGATTACAAGGTCACAAAAAAAAAAAATTCTAAATAAAACATGTATGGATTAATAATTATCAATAACATGCATTAAGAATATAGAATGGGTGAATTTTCATTTCATGCCGACTTTAAAAATAAAACCAACCTACAAAGACATTCAAAGACAGCCAAGTCTTTACAAAATCTTCCGAAACAGCCACTGTTTGGTGATATACAGGGAAAAAAAAGTCTATATATGTGCTTGTGCATGTATAATATGATCTGCAGACTATCAGAAGTCTCTCAGGTCATATGAGCTGATGCGGCCGCATACAGGGTGACAGACAGCGGCCTGCGTCCTCCATCGCCTCCCTCCATCACTGCTGACTTAAGTGGCTAAGCAGCCATGAATAGAGATGGGCTCTCAGAGAGGAGGTCTCATAATTATTAGTTTTAGAGCCTTTTCTTAAATATCCCGCGGGAGCAACGGGGTTAAAAATCCATTTGTGGTAAGTGTAGCATGACAGCAAGACACTGTCTCCATGGAGACAGCCGACATCACACTGTGTGTGTCATGTATGTGTGTTTATGTCTGTGTGTGTCGTACATATAGAGTGCATTGGTATGGTGTCTGTTTTTGTAGCCATGAACAAACCTACTCTAAAAAACAGGCTCTGCCGAAATGTAATAAATAATACAAATAAATAAAATATACATATGAAATATATGAGATTATCAAAAAATCATAATGTTGAAAAATGTAAAGCTTTTTGTAACGTTTTTTTTATTTAGGA